TTTTTTTTAGCCCTTCGACGGAGCGAAGGGCCGTTAAAAATTGTTGTAAGCTGCTCACTTGGCGTACTATTCTTTCGCCTTTTACTAAAGAATACAGAGAAGATTAGCATGGCCCCTGCGCAAGGATGACAAGAATAAATCGAGAAATGGTCCAAATTAACCAAAAAAAAAACAAAAAAAAACTGTAGTTTTTACATGACTGGGGTACCCTGTGGGTAGCTGGATGGCCAGGCGACCCGGTGCCCCTCGTAACTTCGAATATATGAGTGTAAAAAGCTAGAAGTAAGCATCTGCAAGGCTGCGCTCATGCAATGACGCTTCTCATCTCTTTCCAAGTTTCCACAGTCGACAATGACTCGACATTCATGAAACCACTCCTCAAGGGATCAGTTGGGAGAAAAAAGTTGGACAGGGAGGGGGGTGGGAGGGAGAGGAAAATCAGGGGTTAAAAAAAACCGTTAAAGACAGCTCGCTGGCGTCAGCGACATGCCAAACCGGTGCTTGCCCATCCTTAGAAAAAAAGGGAGGTGTCCCATGAAACGATGTAAAAAAGAATTTGAAAAAACAGGGAGGTGTCCCGGTCTATCAATTAATTACTGTAAGACTTGACAAGACTGGAAGACAGCCAACGTCCCAAAAGCAAAACCAACTGCCAAGCCACCAATCAGCAGTTGGAAAGCTAGATTCACTGATTCAGAGAAAATTTTGGGGACCAGCCAGAGTCACAAAAAGAGACTACATTACTATCCCACGACCGACCGACCGCACGGGCGGTCATTCGGCCGGCTGATCACATCCACCCGTAGTGTTCTGGTTCCACTTTTTTTCTTCTGCTCCCTTCTTTCCCCTTACCTGCCGCAAACGCTGAACGGAGTCCTTAGTCATAGGGACAACGAAATCACCATTCTGCTCAGCTGCTGACGACATAATCCTCTGCAGAATCGAAGAAGAATCGTCCATTTTCTCCTGCATGACAATCAGATTGCCAACAACACACACACACACAAAAAAAAAAAAAAAAAAGATTGCCAACAACACCGTTTCAGTTGTTGCCGCGAAAGGAAAGAGCATGCATTCCCACAAAAAAAAAGGTATGTAAAAGTAAAACACACACACACAAGATCACTCTTGAGTCTTGATTGACACACTGCTTCCTTTTGGGTTTGAATTTGTCTGCTATTATCTGCTTCTCTCTCTCTCTCTCTCTCTCTCTCTCTCTCTCTCTCTCTCTCTCTCTCTCTCTCTCTCTCTCTCTCTCTCTCTCTCTCTCTCTCAGGGGAGGGGGGTCAACTCAGATCTGGAGCATCCTTCTAAGCAAGGGTAACCCCCTCCATTAGCAGGTTTGCATTTTTTTTATTTTTTATTTTTTTGGTTTGGTTTGCACTTTTGTTGGTGATGGGCTGTTAAGTCAATGACAGTCCAGGAAAAAAGAAGAATTTCAAAAAAAGTCGATGACGTCCATATCTGTCCTCTTTCCATAGTAGTTAGAGAGTGAAAGAAAAGGATACTTACATAGCTGTCCTCTAGCAAGGTGTCATGCGCAGTAAGCAGTAGACTGAGAGAGAAGCATGGCAGATATGGATGGCAGACACTAGTACCCAAATAAACTTCGACGGAACCATGCTAAATATGTACCCGGACGTCGTCGGGTATTGGCAGAGGGCAGATCGCATGCACGTTAGGAAACTGATCATAAAAAGTGTGCGACCGCCCCTTCCACGCCCCCCTCCCCCGTCCTTCTCCCTCATGCTTGTGCAGAAGTGCTGCTGTGCTGCTTGCTTTCTACGTCAGATGGTAATTGTTGAAGGGGTGTTAAGTGAAGGAGCATTAATTCAAGGGGTATTCGTTGAAGGAGTTTATTGGGGCAAAAATTGCACGCACTGACCTCTGTCTTTTTCACCAGCCTCTCCACGACATTCATGACGACCGTAGCCAGCTCCCCAAGGTCGTTCTGCTTGTGTTATCATCATCTCGAATTTCAGTTTCAGTTTCAGTTTCAATTTCAATGGAACACACACAGAGATAAAAATACAGCAACAGCTGTGTCGAGTCAGGCGTCGTCAACAAAAATAGATTCGCACACATCTTTTTCCCGCCTATGATTTTCCAAATGCATGTGTCTAAGCATGAATACGTCAAAAGTGGGCAAGTGAGAAACTGAGTGGGCAACCTAAAGGCTGAGCATGTAGCAACGCACAGAAATCTTTTCTTTTTTTCTCTCTTTTCTTTTTTTAAACAGAATGCTCCAATCTATTTGTGGTGGGCAGCACGTGAACGCACAGAAATCAATTACAATTTACAACACACACACACACACAAAAGAGAAAAAAACGATCACACGGCCAGGTAACTTGTTTCTACATGGATGGACAAGGCCTGTGACACGGCAATCAGTTTTACGGAACTTGTACCACGATCGATGTGGGCTGGACTACTACAAATTGGATAAGATAACGTTGGGGGCTACCCTCGCCGGCCCCCCCGCCCCCTCTCCATTTAGAAACCCCTCCTTCACAAAAGGACTCCGCTAAGCAATCGATGCAACGAGCAAATAAGCAAGGAGCGACTGAGAAAAAAGGGAGAAGAAAGAAAATGAGGGCCTGGACTGTTTCTCAGCTAAATCAAACGATCTGCAAGAACTCCAAAGCTGGCTAGGTAGCTACCGCAGATGTGCCATTCCCATAAGCTGCGGTAGCTACCACTTAACTCCCGAAGGGCAGGTACCTAGCAACGATTAGAGTAATTACAGCTGCATTTCGGGCAACTTTCAGTCTAGATACAGTGATATTTTACGATCCTGGTCATTTCCCAAGTGCAAATTCACAATGAAAGACAATGCCACCCAATTGCGAAAGAAATGAAAGCACTTGCAAAGAGATAAAGACCAGAGGAGAGAGAAAGAAGAAGAAGAAGAAGAAGAAGAAGAAGAAGAAGAAGAAGAAGAAGAAGAAGAAGAAGAAGAAGTACACCAGCAAGACCAATGACAATTCCCCCCTTCTCTCTCCACCTTCCTCCTCCTCCTTCACTTCACCAATCTTTTTCTTCCCTCAATAATAATAATAACAATGAATGGATGAACCAGAATCAATATCCGAAGTTCCCCCTTACTGCTGACTCAACTCAACAACAACGACAACAACAACCAGTCCACCATAGCTATGGCTTCCCTCCTTCAGCCTCCTCTCTCTCAAGCATAGGCTATGGCGGACTACTACAAGCAGCTAGGGTGCTGCGCTGATGTCCAAAGGACAACTCAAGCAGCTATGGTGCTGCGCTGATGTCCAAAGGACAACGCAGACCAGCTATGCCGCTGCTGACTTGGTCCGCTATGCCTGACTCTGCCTCGAGCTTCCCTGGTGCCGCACTACCCCAACTGGGGCCTTCCAGATGCAGCCCCCAACAAGGTGATGAAGATGGTGTCTTCCATAGCCAGGTAAGTGCCCCGCCACTCTCCTACCATGCCCCCTTTCTCCCTCCTCCTCAAGCTGGAGTGCTCACCATAGCCAGGCTGAGCTCCAGCGGCCCTTCACCTCCAAGCAGCGCTGCAGCAGTCCAGCGCTGCGCTCCAGCAGCATGTCGCCAATCCTTGCACACCGCAAATGAGGAAGAGCTCTGAGCTCTTCCTGAAGATATAGCGGCCTACCGGCCTCCTGGGCGGTGACTTCCTAGGCCGAGTGGCCTCCCAGCAACCGGTACCTCCCTTTCGGAGGGAAACATCATTGCAGGCTCTGTTATCGTCCGCACAGGCCCTAGACCCGGTCTACTTGGACTGGTACCGGCCTACCTCTAACCTACCGCTACTGGGCCTCTAAAAATGCCAACTTTTTGTCTTCTTCTGCTCGGCCTCCAGTACCCGACACTTCTACCACTACTTCAGTGGTACCGGCCTACCTGCTACTTCAGTGTTTTTCCCCTCTGCTCYAAGTGTCGYGGGCCTACCCYCGCTACTCGAGTGTTTTCCCCCTGCAACCCTTCACAGTCACRGCCACAGGTAAGTACCGGCCCTGCGGGGSCKTGCAACCAACAAGTRCCCTTGCKGGTCACMCACACACTCAACCGTCAAGCACTCAGACAGGCATGCAAACCAGCAGGCRCGCACACACACACAGACATGGAAATCACAGCAGAATGCGGGAATTTCAACAAGGCATTCATTCCAGCGGCAAATCCCAGAAATCAGCAGTGTTCTCAGTCTGCGTTTTTGGCGGGTCATTACATTACCCCCCTCTCAAGAGCGAGGTCCCTTCGAGCGAGTAACTCAATCAGAGTTGGCACGTAATGCATCGTAGGAGTAGATCAGAAGGAGAGACTTAGTCAGTCCGTGAGGAGTCATTTCTGCAACGAATTTAGCAGTCTGTCCCTCAGCTTTCCGTAGTTCATAACCGTTCACAACACGGGGAGCACTCTTTAGCAGTTCTTTTCAGTCGATCCAGAAGAATTCAGTCAACGGGTGATAGAGGAAGTGAACCTTGTACTGTCTGTTCCTCCCTCTTCGTTCGTGAGAAACGATTCGGTCTATCTCATGGCCGCCGTCGATGGGGCGAGGTATCATAGGGTCTCGGAATGGAAACGTCTCATCATCAATATGTGGAAACAGTTTGGACGCATGAAAGACCAGATACGTGCGCAGATGAGGAGGCACGTCAATCACATATGAAGGACCAAAATCATCCCCAATCACCTTCAGAATCTGCCAGGGGCCATAGTACAATGGAAGGAGTTTGCATGATATGCCCTCTTCATCAGAAAACTCAGACATTTTAACCCAAACATAATCCCCTACTTTGAATTTCTCTTCTTTGCGCAGCTTGTTAGCATGTTTGATCATGGCATGCTGGCGAAGTGCTCCCCTCTACGACCTTTACTCAGTGCCACCCAGGACTCACAAGGGTTCTTTGCCGACCACTCAGCTTTGAAGGTCCTCTAAGGCTTTAGACACATCCAACGTACAGAGTATAGTTGGATCCGGATGCGTCTGCGGGGTGACTAAGGAGTCAATAGCTTCGGGCAACTCTTGAAACGGCGAGAGTACATCACCCGCTTCAATGACAGTACAAGCAGCTACAACTTCTACCGTCCCTACTATGTAACCGGGTGAACGCGTTGAACGCGCGTTCACGTTCAAGCACGCACGTTCATACTCCCCGGGGCCGCGTTCATTCGCGTTCAAACGCGCTGCGCGCCACGTGGCGTGAAAAAACTGAATGCGACCCCGGGGGGTGCGCATGCACGTTTCGGACTACGAGGTGGTGGGCCTCGTTCTACGAACCCCTCAAGAC